TCCTTATACATTGCTTGATACCAAACCTACCAAAGTATTTTACCATTATCTCATCTATTGATAAATTATAGTCAAAGAAACCAAATTGCATACAATTCTCACGAAACATATCATACAGAGTTCTAACCTTCCAGACTTTATCATTTTGATCAGTTTCTTGAAGTTTATAGAATCGTATGTTCTTTTTTATGGCAACGAAATTATTTCTAGACATAAGTTCCGCAATTACTGGACACTGAAGTATTCGCTTTTTTGACCAGTAATCACGAATACTTTTTCTAGAATTGAAGATAGTAATCATTATGATTGTAATAAATTTTTCTAGATCATCCATACATAAATCAAAATGATTTTCAGAAGTGGCTTCAATGATATGGTTTTTCATTGATTTCGAAAAGAAAACCTCAAACAACTCAAAAGCATTTTTGGATTGCAATGATGAAATAGGTGAAATATTGAAGTTGCTCTCGACATGCGGAGAAATATCATTCAAAGCATCATTTTTCCAACTGTACTTATGATTCGGTTCCAACAATTTCTGAGTACTTGTGTATGTACTTTTAACATGTTCGTAAGAACCTGATGGTAATTCATTTGATAATGTATCTTCATTTGGATCACCGTCCGAATCTCCATCTGAACTTTCATATTCATTAGGAATGAATGCTATATCAATATGTTGACCTTCATCACTATCAGAATCTTCAACTAAATTTGGTAGATCGCTAATTCTCCGTCTCGGCATTATCAGTAACGTTACCAATTTAGAACAAAATAAAAACTAAAAGTTTTCCGAAATTATTATTTCAAAGAATAGATCCAATGTATAAATGTTTTCAACCGTTAGCCCGCCACTCAAACGTGATCTCTAACACGGAAGGATTTACGAAATGAAATAAACTTATCCAATTACAGTATAAGATCTCAAAATTTATCAGTAAAAAATACTGATATGATTCCAGATACCATGTGTGAGAATGAAAACACTTATTTGTCAATAGTTTATTTCTACATAAAGATATCAAATTGAACTCTGACAAAAAAGTGTTATATAGGTTTTCATCTCAATTTTATCCCCCGAATCGATTTCCGCATTCAGATTTTGAAAATTATGAATTTTTTTGTAATTTGTTTAAATAATTTGTTATAAACAATTGCAAATGACATAAGAAAAAATATATATATTTTATTTTTCACTTATGCAAAGGATAGCACAGTTTATTTTTTGCTATTCCAGATAGATTTTGCTTGGGACTTGACATGGTCACTTTTTCTCCCCAACATGCAATTGTTTATTCCTACGTTACACTAACAAATTGAATTCTGACAAAAAAGTGTTATATAGGTTTTCGTCTTGATTTCACCTCCAGAATCGATTCCCGCATTTAGATTTTGATAATTATGAATTTTTTTGTAATTTGTTTAAATAATTTGTTATAAACAATTGAAAATAACATAAAAAAAATACGTATATTTTATTTTTCACTTATGCAAAAGATAGCACAGTTTGTTTGTCGCTATCTCAACCAGTCTTAGCGTGGGCTTTAATGGGTTAATATTTGAAATCATTTAGCATTGAATTTTTGACTTCTTAAATATTTATACCATAAAATGTCGAAAGCGTGACACGAGGACAAAAAAAAACATAACTTTAAGCTTAATTTTGAACACTATTTATTAAGTTATTACATTTCTGCACCCCACCATTCGATTCCTTGTTGTAAGACCTTCAAAAATCATTATAGTAGATTTTTAATAAATATTTATTTGAATACATTTTTCTTTGAAAAACAAATACTTCTGCGCCCACGACGCGTGACACGAGGACAATTTTGCTTGTTTTTCGGTCATGCAGACCAAAACTAGTGTTTTAAATAATGTTGTAGTATCTGAACAAGTTGTTTAGGGTTGTTGTTAACGAACTATATCAAGTAGACATGTCGATATAGTTTCCATAAAAAACTTAGGGCCTAAAAACATGTATTTACAATTTTTTGAATTTCACACATATATGTGTGATTGTTAAATTCTTAAGTATTTTGGCTTTGGTATTTTATTCTCGCGACTCTTCTTATTTTATTGTTATAAATACCGGTCGGACTAGCGTCACACGATCTTTTCGATTACGTCGTATGATAGCCTACGCTGACGAAGTATTTAACAATTAAGCACGTCCCCAGATAATATAATATGCATGTGTATAGGATGAATAGTACGTCTGCAATATTTTGATTATATTTAAAAGAACTTAAATTCAAATTGCTCGTCAAACGCAGCCATTACTACCTTTGATACCTTTCTCGTTAACCAGTGGAGTCGAGACTAATAAGAGTTTCGATCCATATTATTATTTTATTATATATATATGAATAATTGTGCCTATATTTGCGATAGTAATAGAAGGACCCCTATACAAATATATTTTAGTTATTTGATTTTTTTTTTATTACTATTTATGTCCCATAAAATATACTTATAGATAAATTATATTTATCAAATAACTAGCGAGCGTTAAGTGAGCGGGGTCTCATACATGCAGCAATTCACCACTACGAGTTGTAGTGTCACTCGTTTCCTAAAAGTACACTAACGACGTGTGTGTCTACTCGAAAATACGTCACACAAATTTCTTTTTTAACGATTTAAAAATCAGCAAATTAGTAACAATCATAATCATTAATTTTACTGATACGTACGATCGATTCGCTATCTAACAGTGCAATTTTAATTGTTTAAAAAAATTATAAATTTTTTATTTATTGATAACTTAGTGAATAATTAGTTATCAAAGTGTCAAATTCTTACTTCTCTATTTCAATACGTCGCGGACGTAATCGCATACTTGAATTAACAATATAATTATTTATTGCAAAATAACTAACACTAACTACTTGTAAATTAAATTTGACTAATAAATACCGACTTGAGAGTTATAACAACATGAAATTCAGGATCAGCGCATCAAAATTGACTAAAAAATACTTTAGTTTATTCGAGAAACTTTATAATTGTCGATTTTCTATTGTAAACAATAAATTTCCCACGGTCGTGACGTTACGCTCCTTATATGGTAATGTTTTCGCAGAGTTGCCCTAACACATTTGCATGTATGTGAGAAAAGCGCCTTCGCTCAATTACCGCTTTTCTTTGATTGTCTTGTGTATGACGGGTTGCTACTTTGCAGAGGGAAATAAGAGACAAATTAGACTGGACCGTTACAGTAGGCATCGAAAAATCGCATGGTAAGTGGCTCAGGATCCCCTTAGCCCCTACTACTCATTTAATGCGACAGACACAAAATAACGAAGAAGGAAAGAAAAAAAAACAGGTTCTGATTATCTCGTAAAAAGAAACATTTGCAAGCACGCTCATCGAATTTCAGATGCTCATATCGTACGTATGGTAATACTCAATTTTTGTTATGCCGTGTTCAATTTCGAATATTTTTAAAAAAGAATCACGTAGCCAACTCCACTCGGCCAAGTAGGTAGAAAATCTTAGAAGCGAGAGGTCTAATTACGTTTATGCAACCGTCGCCGAAAAATGAAACTCCGCCGAATTCCTATGCGCTTGAACGTATGAATGAGAAAAACAATTTTTCATCTCCGGCGTAACTTTAACCCGCCTAGAGATAAGCATGTTACTCAGCCGTATCGCGTAACACACTGGAAGAAATACTCATAAATTTTTTCACAAAAGTACATAATCATAAATCAAATAAATATTTAATCTTGATTATAATCAAATATAAATTATCCTAGATATCGTACAGAAATAAAATAATATATAATATATATGAAATAATAATAATGAGGGAATAATTTAAGTAATCCCTTTTAGGTTTAACACATAGAAATATATATATTTTTAATTTAAAAGATTATACAACCTTTTCAACGCGAAAAAAAGAAAGACAGAAACCTGAGCTAACCACGCTCTGCTACTAGTTGATAGGTGGCAATTCGCGCGAGGCGAATTTGCCCCATATGTAGGCCTTTTTAACAGCCGAGCGGCCTTAGACTCGGGCGGCAGTCAGGCTTTCGGGCACCCCGGCCCGTTCGTGCGTCAATAATGAAATCCCTATTAATTGTAATCCGGCACTCGATACCGCAATTGTAAAATAATTAATCGAACGTTTATAACAATTTTCGCTTGTTTATTAAAAAAAAGAAAAATGTAATAGAGTTTTTCTTTAATACAATGGGGAAGCATATGGATACGCTTATAGGCGTTTATATTTTAATATTTATTCTAGTCAGTTTCACAACATAAATAAGTTAAGCAAAATAGATATATATATATATAAATTCTCAGACGCGTAATTTTCACCTCGCGTTGTCTATTATTTTTTTTATTACATAAGAAGTGGTACTCACTTCGTATTAATATTGTAAATATAAATTGATCCGAAATATTGTTTGCTTCGTTTATGAGCAATCACTTTTTTTGAATCTGGTCAGATTAACTGGTCCAATGTATTTTTTTATCCAATAATGTGACAACACACAATAAAATGATAATTCCTATGATTTTCGTTTTTTAAATCTGGTCAGATTAACTGGTCCAATATATTTTTTTATCCAATAATGTGACAACACACAATAAAATGATAATTCCTATGATTTTCGTTTACACAAAATTATTAAAACGAATGTACTCGACACTTCTAATACTTAATTGTAACTCAAACTCTTATCTTAAATTATAGATTTAATTTCAGTAAGAAAAATGCAGCCTTCTTAATTGAGCGCTCACTCCTAACTGCCAGGTCACACCCTCACTATTCGTCCGTGCCTTTTCGTTTCCCTCTCTCACTTCTTACACACACACACACACTCTCTCTCTCTCTCTCTCTCTCTCTCTCTCTCTCTCTCTCTCTCTCTCTCTCTCTGATTTACGCGTTTTTAATCGCTTCGTCTTTCCTAGCCTAACACGCTGAGTGCTGCATGCTACGACAGCAGTATGCTCGTCTTCTCCCACTTATTCCCGCCGTGGCGCGCACCCGGGTACTGCTGACCATAGCGTCTTATCGCTATGTTCTTGACCTTGGCGCGATATGAATGGGACGCTCGCAAGTGAAATCTTAATTAGAAACCAAAAAAACCTTTGCAAGAATATTCTCGTTCTTCGAGGTACCGCATTATTGCAAAATCGTCCAGTTCAAGTTCTTCATCGGACAGCAGTGCAAACAGTGATAACACTGTAACTCACAGTAGTAATAGTAGCCATAGTGTGACATGAAAGAGAAAGTACCAGTAATTCAGATGGAGGTGATTTTTTAAAATATTTTTTAAGCTACAGAAAATAGTGTTATATCGGTTAAAAAAATAGCTGTCAGCTTAATTTTCTTACATACATTTCACGTAAACTTGTCAATAAAAATCTATTTGAAAGATATTTTAATAGAATATCATTCTAGTTCGAGTGCTATGGGCTCGAATAATTTGGACAGTGAAAATCAGGGACTAGAGGAGCAGTATTTCGAGAACCTTTACGGTACGGGTTTGAACGATTTAAAATGTTCTGTTTTAGAGACTTATAAATATATTTAATTGCTCCTAGCTTTTACACAATTATATTTATGCCAGTCTAACTTAAAAATCGCAACTTCGTTGCTTATTTTCGGGTTATTGTGGCATAAAATATTGTATGTAATTGGTCCCCAGAAATATGTTGCATTATATACTATTTTGCGTGATTTCATCACGAGATCTTTCCCTTTTTATAATTGTAAAGTTAATAAGATTAATTTTGTTATTACTGCACAATACATATCGCCTATCACGAGTAATAAAAATAAATACATTATTTAATGTAGATGCTTATGGAGAGAACGAAGTTTATAGTGGTGCAGAATCCGAATCAACATATGAAGGTGAAAACACGCCAGATTCCTACATATGGTATCCAGTGAAGCGGATACTTTTTCAAATCGTCTGCTAATTCCTCGAGCGAATCATCAAACGATGAAAACGAAGAGTCTATGAAAGATGCGAATGCGCTACTATATAATGGAGCCCTAATTACAGTAGGAGAGAGCGTAATTTTTATTTTAAAATTAACAAGCCACTTTGTAGTATCAGGAATGCTACTATCATTTATACTTGATTTAATCGCGATGCATTGTCCTCAACCAAATAAGTGCGCGACATCTATTTACAAGCAAAAAATTTTTCGCCGACGTACGTACTCCAATGAATCGTTCTTACTATTGTAATAGATGTTATTCACGATAATATTTGTCATGTGATGTTCATATCATTTATTATTTATAGTTCGTACTCTCGTAGTCTGTCGTGTTAATGAGTAAGAATTCGTTTCTTTCAATGTGATTCTAATTATTAATATGTAATAAATCAATAAATAATATATGAGTATATAAGTGAAATTTCAAGGAAAAGACAGACTTTACCCTAGTTTCTTATGGTCTCATAAGTAGAGCTTAAGTCTTTCTTATAAAGGATATAATTCAGCCTAAGTTTCTCATAGCGCAAAGTGTTCTATGAGTCGACCACGAATTACAAAAGGAAAAGAGAGGATTTGCTCAGTTAATTATAATGAGAGAAAGAACTTAGGTATTAGTTAATTATTTATATTAATTCAATTATTTATTTAATCTCATGCACTCACTTTGCAAGGCTAGGAGTAAATCCTAGCCTGTGCAAAAATCAGCGTATTTATACACAGATTTTCCCGCCTATTTTCGCAGGACAGCTCTCTTCGAGTCGTTTACGCAATTTTGAGAAATAAATTTTCTAAATTTACAAGTGAATAAATAGTAATACTGAAATTTTAAAACATGTAAACTTTACAAAAGTAGTTATTGATCATTTTAGTATGATTTACAATTATCGCAAATAGTATCGTCAAAAGTAATAAAGTTAATTAATGTAGTAGCACAATATTTACAATAAAACAATAATAAAATTTTACATGAATTAATAGTTTATCAATTGTAGAAGTAATTTCTAAACAGAAATACTCAAATTAGTTAATAACATTTGAATTATAATAAATTTTCATATTTGTAACGGTTTTTTCTAAAATCTTATAATGTAATTACTAGATTAATTAATTAAGATTAATAAATTATAAAGCTGTCATTATTATGTACAAAATTAACGCTTTCGATCCATATACAACTTTATGTTTAAATAAATTATTAATTATTTATTTATTGATAACAGTAATAATTAAACTGTTATCGATGAAACCAATTCTTACTCATGTTTCTAAGATATTCATTATGAATTTTGAGTATTCGCATTATTCTAATAATTAATATTTACAATGTAATAAACAAATTAACTTTGCTCATTAAAATTCAATATAATTTAATAATTAAACATAATTAAAATTATTATAATCTAAATCTATGTCCTAAAATCTATATAAAAATTACTTTGTTTCATCAAAATTACTCTTAATTAACATATTTTAATAAAATAAAAAAAACTATTATATCTATATTTATAAGTATGTGACGTCACCCTCCTTATATTGTCATGAAATTTGACTCTGGTACTAAGGCAATCAAATAATATGTGAGATGGCGCCGTTTAATATGCTAATTGATGTAAACAGATTGATGAGTTTAGCGAGTTGCAGTGATTCAGTGAGTTAAGAAAATAGCTCATAGATAGGACCGTTACAGTCATCAATGCAATAGTAGCGACAATATATGTTATTTTATACATATTTCTTTAATCCCGCAATTAGCGAAGTTGTACAAAAGAGCTGATTTCGTTATTAATCTTGTTTCATCGACAGAAAGAAAATAATAAACATTTCAAAGATATATTTGATGGTTCGATTTATAATTCACTACCCAACAATTTTTCGATAAATGAAAATAATATAACTTTCACTTGGAATAACGACGGAGAAGCTTTATCCAAATCATCAAAATTTAGTATTTGGCTATTTTATTTGCTAATTAACGAGCTACCTTATAAATTGAGAGTAAAAAAAGATAACGTTTTGCTAGCTGATTTGTGGTTTGTCCCTCAAAAGCCATCTCCAAATTTCTTCATGAGTTCATTAAGAATAGAGCTTGAAGAGTTATATCAAAGTGTTGACTTTGAGACTTCTGAAAATGTATTACGTGTCAGAACTTTGACAATAGCGGGCTCATATGATTTATGCGCAAAGGTTTATTTATGAATATAAGACAGTATAATTTTACATATGGTTGTCCTAATTGTAAAATAAGAACAGTTTCAAAGCAACGCGTAAGGGTATATTCGGCAATCGAAAATTTAGATATAAGAAGTACGTCGGAATCCAGATTATTTGCCGCAGAAGTTATTGAAATAAATGAGTCAGTTTATGGGGTAAAAGGTCCGACAGTGCTCGATTTAATTTCGTACAATTATGTGGAATCAATAGCCATTGATGAAATGCACAATGTGTTTCAAGGTATTACAAAAAAATTACTATGTTTATTATTTGATGCGGAAAATCGAATGCACGGTTTTTCATTATTTCCTTTTTTTAATATTGTAAATGATAGAATACTAAATCTAAAACTTCCGTCTTTCATACCGAGAAAAATTACCGATTATGCGCACTGGAAAGCATCCGAACTTGTAATCTTTTTGTTGATTTATAACTAAAAGTTCTACGAGGTATCATGCCTTACAATTATTTCGAACGCCATGTGCTACGAGTATATGCTATTACTCTCTTAAATTCTTCAAGTATATCAGCAATATGATCGGTCAATCTTCAAGGCTCTTGAAAGAATACATGTCGCGATTTGAGCATTTATATGGCTTTCGTTACATGACTTGTAATTTACATTTACTATTACATTTACCCAATATACTGAGGAAATTTGGACCTCTATGGACCATGAGTTGTTTTCCGTTCGAGAATTTTAATGGAATATTAAAAGGTTATGTTCATGGAACCCGACATCCAAATTACAAATTTATTCATCAGAAGCAACATTTTTATTGCTAACTGAATTACAAGATAGGTTTCTCAAGCCTGATAGTCAAGCTTTGACATTTTGCAAACGAGTCTAAAAGTTAGGAACGTTCAAACGCAAAACCAAGCATTTACATAACTGTGTTTATGCTGTGGGAGCTTTTTCAAAAACTGGATTCTTGCTAGAGCCAATTTTTAACGCAATAATAGACGTTGTTGTTAGAGGTAACATTGATTTCGCAAAGTTACATGTTTTTCATAGATTATTGAAAGACAAAAGGTATTATGAAAAAGAGCCGTACGTTAAAGAAAAAAGAACAAACTCCTCGTTTATAAAATATGTATATAATAATGAAACTTGCTAAGGTATCCTCCATTGTTTTATAACAATGTGCGCATGCACTTATTCTAAAAAGTGTATGTGAAGCCGTGAGCGCGAGGTAAAATGAATTTTAGTTGGTGTGAGAATATCTGTTTTATTAATCCAAACTAGGACTTACAAATATAACACGACTCGGCAGAACGTAATCCGCGAAGCTGGCAGAAGGTCGAGCTGTTAGCAGGTCTCGAGTTCGGGCTAGAGTGTCTAAAACTCGCCCCAGCTACTTGGCGCTTCTCCTCGGAAAATCCCGTGAAAAAGGCAAGTCCCTCTCACGAGGTCCGTAAAAAGGATAGCTGGGACCGCGGATTAATATTCTATGGATGTGCATGCGATTCGAGTTGCGAGCTTGAGAGCAGGTGGCATTAGATTTTTGTATTTTTTTGTTTAAACATGACATGTGGCAATTGTACGGTTCTCCTTCCGATCAAAGTCTACTCTATGTTTGTTCAATAATTCAGCTCGTGTCGGCCGACATCATTCTGCATAGTTTTAATCGCTCGGTTTTCAATAATTTTCGCCAATAAAATTATGATTGCGCTCACTCATTCAGCTTATGTCTACGTGATTAATACTACGAAGGTTACAAGTTATAATCGCAGAGAAAACGTGAAACGGTTTAAAATTAAACTGAACTTAAATTAATGGCCGGCATAAAAAACCTCGCCGTCTGAGAGGAAAAAGCCTGCCATTTTACAAGCCAAACTTAGTCTAAAAAAGGCGCAGAGACAATATTAAAAGATGGCATAATCGCGTACATTTCGTTGCAATTTATTTTTCTTCTCCGAAGAATTTTTCGAATGTCGGGTCGGTGACACTTGATTGTACGGTCGTAGATTCGAGAGCGAAGGCTTTATCGGATTTCGTATGCGTATACAAGTTGTATCGTATACCGGCTATGAATCATGGAACAAAGAGAGAAATTTGAAATAGAAACACTATAGTCCAGTCAACAGAGAAATTTTCAGACAAAAATTCCGGGATGGGTTTTCTCAACGAAAATCGCTTCAGTACAATGTAAATAGGAACTCTTGATAAAATGCAACTCCTAATTTATTGTCAGATTTTTTTTATGAGCGCTCAAAGTTGACGAAATATGGTTTTTTCAATCTGCAAGCCTCGGTATGCATTTTAGCTGAAAAAGTTTTGTATAAAAGTTGTAGACAATAGCAAAAGCTACAATTTGAGCTGTCGTGCAATTTTTTTCGTTTGTTAGTTATTGAAAAAAGCCCCAAAAACCCTTGAAAATGGCCATTTTTACTATATCGAATATTTATTGCAAAAAGAACTTTTTTTAATGTTTATGACTCTTAAGAGAAAGCTCTTGTGATTCTAAAAAAAATGAATCGTCGCACGACTATTTATTTTTATTAGTTACTTATATATTCTAATTAGTTAATTAAGAGACGTCCAAAGTACGGGGCTGTAAATTTTTTTTGGCCGAAGATATCGAGTTGTAAAACAACTCAATCTCTTTGCCAAAACGTCAATTTAAATAAATGATTGGGAACGAATCAAAAAATTAATTTGCAACCCCTAAATTTTGACTTTAAAAAAGTGCGCCTTTTTTCTTTTATAAACAATGAGAATTGCGGCTTCCCTATGCATTATAGAGATTTCTTTTTTAGAAATTCACATATCTGAGATCAAGGTGCATATTTTGAAAAAAAAAATTGTTTTTCGACCAATAGGAGCCGAGATAATTTTTTTTTTGTTTAAATCGCCATTGTTGTAATAATGAAAATTAACAAATCGGTCCAAGGGCATTCGATCGTTATTAAGTTATATTTTCTCATTACGATACAAGGCTTTACATATTTTGGCTTTTTAACAATTAAAATGAAGTTTCATTTCCAGCACGAGAAAAGCCAAAGGCCGGAGGCGGTGGTGGGAGGCCTCCCTCGCGCGCTTGGAAATACTGAAAGTCCGCGTTCAAATCGACGCGCTTCGCAAAAATCA